TTATGGCTGACTAAAATCCGATGGAGCTGCAAAGCTGCCTTGTTAAAACAGTTGTTTGGGCGAAACCAATCGTCATAGGTTTGAAACCTCTTCAAATAGAACTCGAATGTGTATGATGCTCACTGTCAGGCAACGAACAGATATCCAATGGAAGTACGTGTATTTGTGTTGATGGTGTTGAGGTGCGTGAAAGGCACGATTATGAGGGCGATCGTTTATCACACTGGAGAACGAAATGTCACCTCACCGCTGCGACCAGCCACATACACGTATATCTCTTTGATCTCACTCTATGGACTGTCGCACTGCATGCATGGTAGAGCTTGCATAGCCGATGATATACCGTATGCGATTAAACTGTTACGTCATTCCGCAGATCCTTGTGAAGGTGTTCAGTGCCACCAGTACGCTAGGTGCGAACATGGCCGCTGTCGCTGTATGGATGGATACGAGGGCGATGGGCAATATGATTGCCGACCAATGTCCCGAGGTAGGCGCTTGATGAAATGGCATGCCGTTGAATGTGGGATTGCATGAATACCACATGGAGTGACCGATACCTGTCTGGTTGACCTATGCACATGTTGAGCTGTCGCCCTTGTCTTCACGTCAATCCACAGACCCCTGCGAGGGAATTCGTTGCCACATGAATGCACGGTGTATAAACGGACGCTGCCAGTGTGATCAGGGATTCGAGGGTGATGGGTATTATTCATGCAATCAAACTGTGCTCGGTGAGCGGTGCTTATAATCATTACCATTTGTATACGTGTCTTAAATGTCTGGGACCTCACCTATCCTAACGCTCAGGCTTACCTTGCCCCTCGTTATTCAATTTTACTGAATTCGTCAAAACAACTTATTAGTGCTGTTTGGCCGACTTTCTGTCTATATTTAACTTCCAACAGAATAATTCGAGTTTATTCGCTTACCGCTCTGTTGTCAACCTGTTTGCACAGGAATATGAAAAAAAACTGAGGCCGTAGAATGATTTTATAAGTGTACTCCATGGCCTATTGAAAATTTATGGTCACAGCTTCAGGCGTACGGTTTTGATCAGCCCTTGTTTCAGTCGGAAATCGTTTATCTATTGCGTGGATTTCACTCACTAGCTGCCCGAATTCCCCAGGAGCATTGGCGTTATTTATTATAATACACGTACACCACATGCCTTCGCTCCACTTTAAGTGACAAAAAATAGTAGCATTTGAACTGTCGCCTTTTATCTTCGAACTTGTCTACCCTCTGGTTCCCTGTCCGACCCACTGTTTGCCCTTTGTAGCTGCGAAATATGAGCGGACCTCAGGGTCCTTTTATAACAACTGGTAAAAAACGAGCATTTCAGAAGTTGAACTATTTATTCTCTGATTCTCAGCCTTATTCTTAGGCACCATTTGTAGTGTCTCAACTAGTTTTTTTCAAAATTAAGCCCCAACATCCTGCTGTTCTCATTAAGTCAGGGAGCTTGAGTGGTTTCCGGTTGTACCTTCCCGTTCACTCTAAATCTGGTCTATTTCTTGTACTCGTTCACGTTCGACTTAGACTCTAATGCACTTCTGTGTGCTTCCCACTTCAACTGATCGCGTTTCATTTTCTTCAGCTGAGAAGCTCAGATTCCGTTCTTTACTGAGTAGTGAGCCAGTAGAAATAGCTGAATGCTATTTTTTGAATGACGAATCGATGCACTTTTTGTTTATACGGTCCTTCTTTTTCGTTATGATCCATTTTATAAGGTGTTTGATTATCTGAACCCAGATATCACACTAAAATGCGTATTGGTATTCCAGTCGTATGTGTATTTATCTACTTATTCTTCAATTAGATTTGTGTGAAGGAGTCGTGTGTCACCAGAATGCCCACTGTCGCAATGGTCAGTGTGTTTGTAACCCGGGTTATGAAGGTGATGGATACTGGCGGTGTAGTCATCCTCGCGGTGAGGCTGAACGAAAAACCATATAACCTTGCATGATACTGCATAGTCGTTACTAATGTGGAACTGCCATTTTATTATATATCCATACATGTCTTGCCCGTTTTTGGGAGCCTGGTCGAACTGTAATTTTTAATCAGCTGATTTTTAACACGCTTGGCATCTGGGTGTCTGAATAGCTGCTAGTCAGCTGACTGTAGAGTTCGTAATGCTCTCTACATGGATCTGATAATTGCAGTTGTTCTATGAGGTAGGTCTATCGTCAAATCGCTCTCTAAACACACAAAAACACCACCGGAGGTTCTAGTTTCTAATTATCTATCTAAGTTGGATGGTCAAGCGAACTGAAGTTAATTAGCATCACCGGTGGCTGTGCCCCAAATTTATCCAGTACTGTTACATATCTGACAGTCTGCAGCACACAGTATTACTGCAGGTCAGGGGAAAACCAGGCTGATGGTATCGAAATAGTTTGACCTGAGTCACCGACTTTATCTCTCAAGTTGCTCAGCGCCTCTACTCGTTTTTAAGACCTCAAACACGAGATCGACTGTTTTATTGCAGTTGACAAATGGGCGAAATTGACCCTTGGCTCTTAGTGGAATAATCGTCTCTCCTATATATTTGCATGCGCTGTTTTATTGTTTTACGGTGTAGACACTTTGTTTTGCTCAGCACACCTGTACTCTCAGTATTCGACAACACAGCCTTCTAATTTGTTGGACCTGATGCGGTGCCATTTCTGGGGATCAAATATCGGCAGTAATCAATTTGACATGCTTGTTCGAAGCGAACTCCATACGAAATAAGCATTAGGCTCAACCGCAGAACAAATGTTTTCCCCTAAGTTGTCCTGCAGATTTTAGCGAAAAATACCCAAGTATTCGGGATAGGCTGCGGTAAAGACGAACTTCCCGCGCATGTTAATTTTTTTACCTTACTAAAAAGTTGCCTGGTCTCAGCAGTTCACTTTATTCCGTTTTTCAGGGTGATTTCAGTCTATGTATTTAAACCAATGACTTTGTTACACTCATTTAGTAGTGGGCCAAGTGGTGAAGAGACTAAACAGTGGGTGATAGTTGGTGGGATAAAAGTGGATCATAAGCTTCACAGACTATTGAAAGAGAGACCAACTGGTTGTCGACCTGTTCGCCAAGCTTGATCGTTGGGCAAAGGTTTCATAACCAATCAAATCAACCCTGTACTGTCGTTGCCGCTTAGACTGGTGACGAGACTTTGACAATCCAATCACTCAAGCGGCGCACTCGATCTACCCATTAGTCTCCGTGCCACAACCAAAAATAGCGCTTTTTGCTGATGAGGCAGAAAACTCATTAGGCGCGAACAAAATCAATATTCGAAGCCTTGGCTGTGCTTGAACATCATAAGAGAAGCGACTCCATTTAAAAAAGAGAATAGATTAATAAAGTTAGAGGTGACAATTTCTTGTTCAGAACGACCTTGACAATCAGCTTGCTCTCATCGGGTTCAAAATTCCCATGAAAGTTTACACAGTAATCAATACTGCGTGCTTTTCCGTTGCACAGTCTTCACGCTCTCTGTAACTCTCGCAGCTTGAATTTAATACATTCGAAATTCCCATGAAATTTTACACAGTGATCAATACTGCGTGCTTTTCCGTTGCACACTCTTCACGCTATCTGTAACTCTCGCAGCTTGAATTTAATACTTGGTCGAAATGATATTAAAACTTGACCACATTTTGTAACCGTGGGCCAGGCACAATTTTAGCCAGTGGTTGGAGCGATTTTTGAGTTGCTAATTTAGTCACACCGAAAGTCAGTAGGCTGCAGATATCAAGGTTCATGATATTATGATTTGGAGAACGCAAAATGGATTCCCTGCCAACAGGGCTTAAATTCCTGTCGTTGGAGCGGAACGTTTTTGCGCTGCGTATTTCGAGGTTAAAAGTATGCTTATTGTCAGCGAAAACGTTTGATCCACCTCCTAGACAGAAAAACATCTGATGACTAATTGTTATGTCCTCGTGTACTTTGTTTTGCTGCCTGTGGCGGAGATACTAAGATTACTTTTCAGTAAGATTAGTCAGACGCGATCCTTCTGTATTTCACGTTGCCAAATACATCTGACATTTTAGAACCCGAATTTATCAATGTATGCAAAGACGTAAGATGTCACAAATTCGCTTACTGCGACAACGGTCGATGTGTGTGTCGGGATGGGTTTCAAGGAGACGGTTACTGGTCTTGCACACCTCGAAGGGGTGAGGCGATTGTGACGAGTAATTATCCATCCAAGTAGCATGTTCATTTTACCGCGTGCATTCCAAACACTGCACTAGCTGCGCTGGTAATCCTTTTACTTTGTTTCGACAAACATTTTCACCCTGAATGCAGCTCGCCTAATTGCAAGCTGCCATGAAACTCACACTTCCATCAGTATGAAAAATATGTGAGGCGCACCACGTTGACCCGATTATAGCACTATATGCAAAGCATTCACTGCATGCGCAACCGGCCTAGTTCGGCGAATTGCACTGTTTTCGCGACCCCTTATTTACCGGACATATTCCATGACAGATCTTTGTGCAGATGTGAGATGTCACCCGAACGCCAGATGCGAAGCCGGTTACTGTCACTGCTTGGTAGGCTATGAAGGTGACGGCTACCGGGAATGTCGCGAACTTCAGCAGATGGAAGGTAAGGACACCTCAACTTGCTTACACAAACATCGGTTTGGACTGTACCTGTGCATTCACCTATCAGTTAAATAGAGAGGCCAGTCATACAATCATTATCTTTATGATTTATTAAAAGACACAGAAGTTTTTGGCCAATTTGCTGTGGGACACGTGTATCTAAAAAAGCTCACCCGTTGACTAAAGCTCCTCGTTTCTTGACCAAATTTCAGTGGTTCCACTGGCACCCAAGGGTTTACTAACCAGCCAAAAGCTTTTCTAATTACATTTATTGATTTCAGAGTATGACTGATTCTCCTTACAATTTTGATCACATGTCACCCCACAATATTTTCGACAGACTCCAGGAGTTCAAAGAAAGTAACTGTTCGATGGATTCTCAGTCATTAACCGAAATAGGTCCATCCGTAGGGTCATGAAAACACATGCCGTGATGATAGGTTGACTAAAGTATATTGGTCCGATTAAACCGTGGATCATTATTTTGTGCAGTTCAGCGTTTTCATAAATTGGGTGGCTTTGAGCAAACATTCTGAAGATGAAATCCAATTTTAACCTGTGATTTCGGTTTCGTCAATTTGGATAGTAAACACAAATGAATCAAATGTATCTAGGTGCCATCTGTCGCCTCTTCACGGTGAAATTGTTCTGTCCAGGCCACATCAAAGGCAGTGAAGCATCAGTGCCAACACTGATGTTGCTTTCTTGAATGATGATGATACATCAAATGTGCTTCACCGGACCCGAGATTTTCATTTAGCAGGGTTTATCACTCGTCAATTTGCCTGGCTTCAGCCAGATGTAACCTACGATCATCTGGCATGCAAAGCAACATATTACTGCCCCTATGCTAATTGACTCTCGATTTGTCCGAATTGGTAAATCTTTGAATCACATTAAGTTATTTGTTAGCCGAAAACAATAAGCCATTTCTAGAATTCCTGAATTATGCGGTGTTTTCTATATCGCTGTAGTACTATCAGTCATAATTTAAATGACTTTTGATCATTTAATGCCAATAGCAAACCCACCCATCACCCTTCTTATAACCTCAGAATCGGTACTAAAACTAAAAGCATTCCTGTATGCCACTCAAAGGCTTATCATCTACCCCTGTTTAAATAGCTGTTACGACTATTTGCGATAATACTACTGCTTGAAAGCAGCCATGTTTCTGCATTAAATTACATGGTTTATGGCGACCCCCCCCCCCCCAATTTGACATTTTTGTTCGTAAATGAACAAATAAAGATGTATGGGTCAGTGTCCTTGCGGCAAACATAGTTTTCCTGATTCAGTCTATTTTCCAGTTTTTCGAATTTACTTGTCTATTTTCCCGATTTTTCTCCGACAGACTCGTAGATTTGACCAGTTACATGGTGAGGTAGCCGAACAAACACCTCATTATGATGAAACGATTTTTAACGGGAGATAATTTTCTACATGGGAATCGCCTTGCACACCATGGTAGTCGATATTAATCCTTTCTCATAACTACTTGTGAGTAGTTAGATTTAACTGATGTAAAACGAACAACTAACATTCGTCTTGACGGACGGCTGATTTCATCCTATCTACTCATTTAGAAGTTGTTGAACCTTTCCACATAACTGCTTGTCGTGTCACAATATTAATATATTGGAGACGCCTATTCTGTTTCGCTACCAGATATACGAATCTCAACAGCTGCAGGTTGAATTTTCTGCCTCTTGATAAACCACCCTAGGGCGTTGCAAGAATATTTAGGAAAGATCACCTCTCCTTTATTAAAATTCACTCTAGCTGTTCAAGGAGACTGACATAAATTGTCCTCTGAGATTCGTCAGATGTGGTGGAACTACAGACGAAACCAGACGAAACAAAACATGGTATAATGGGGAAAGGACTCCGTGAACTACATTATAGGATTCACTCAAATAATGCTAAAACTAACTGATAAAGAATTTAGCGGGCACGAGTATACTATATTGTCGTTTTCTGACCAACTGTACCATCCCATCAAATGTGTACTTCCTCTCAGATCCATGTACCAAAGTACAATGCCATACCAATGCACGCTGTGAAGCTGGCGAGTGCCGCTGTGTTCCAGGCTATACTGGGGACGGATATCGAGAGTGTAGACCTGCTAAGGGGGGTAAGATTTTCTGAGTGGCATGCACAATTGCAGTTCGCATGCTCGGAAACTCGTGTATTTGCATGATGGGAAAGACCCTATTTTTAACTTGAAGTGTGGTTTTTCTGGTTTTCAATGAAATGTTCATGCCCGTTCCATCAAAGAAGGATCTTTGACGCGACAAGCAGCGAGTGCAAACAACCGTTTGTTATTCATCAACACATTTTTTCACACATCAATGTGCTGCTCACTTCCAAATCGTTTGTTTCCAAACGTAACATTTCCTTGAGAAATGACTGAATGTAAAAGTTTGGAATCTGGGCTGTAAATCCTCACTTAGGAGTGGGGAATCATCGGATGAGTCGAAAACCTGGATTTCAATTTACATAATTGGAGGATCTTGCATTATTCTCTCAGTGTTGAACGCCCTCACTGTCAGTGTCTCTAAAACCGATCATCGACGAAGGTTTTTATTTGTCCTTTTCATATAATCCCCTTTCTGGTCAACATGACTTTTCCAGAATATTATATTTAGAAACTCATTTCGTTTCTCCGCAAAATAAATAATTATGCACTTGCAAATCAAGGTAAAATAATATTCCTCGTTTTACAATACTGACATGGATAAATTTATAGCACACTTGATGTTGTTTGGTTGACTCCTTGTAGTGTACTTGGTGCCTTACCTTAGAAAACCACCTGATAGGTTTGTCCTGACTTGATAGCACGTGTCCAAGTCTATCAGGAAGGTCAGCTTCCTGAAGGCAACCACTGAATGCCCGAAATCTATCGTGACTCTCAACTCCGCTAGATATGAACCAGACAGACAACGTCTCCTCAGTATGCAGCGCGTCACAACCTTGTATCAAACCCAGACAGCGCGAGTTAGCGTTGATCAAGGCCAGACAACGCACCCGCAATATACAGCACGTCACAGCCTCGTACCAAAGCCAGACGTGTGCGTCAGCATTGGACCAAGTCCATACAGTGTCCCTCCAAAAAATAGCTTGAGACCGTTTTACATTCGCACTCGCTTGTTCGGAATATAGCTATTGTGTTCCCTTCTGTGAGTCCTTTTCTCCGGCAACTAGGCACTGGAGCGGGTCAGCAGCAGATACCTCAGATTGGCGAATCAGCATATATAACAGAGTCATGCAGCCAAGTCAATTTGCCGAAAATTCTATGCACCCATAGCACTGCGTTTCAACCTAACTGCTACAATGATGATAGTAATACTATGGATGATAATGATAAAAGCTCTGAATAGTTTCACAGACCCCGAGCCTGTTTTCTGTCGTTCAGTCATACTAGTCAAAGCCTGAAGTGAAATGAAGCCATCTTTGAGATAGTCTATGGTAACCACAAGATGGAAAACGTCAAGGACGAATGTCTCCGGACAAACTTAAAAGCAGTACAGCAGAATGAGCTGTTAAACAGCATACAGTGTTATTTTTCCTTCGGGTGTATGCCGTTGAAAATCATAGTAGCTGAGACGTAACAGATATTGTTGTGAGCACTTTCTAGGTTTGCCCCGATATTTGTGCAGGGGAAATTAGCCTATACTGTGAAGGCTAAGAGAATTGCACAACTGTCTCATCTACGTTGGAAGCAATCACCAGCTCAGGTCTCAAGAATTTCAAGCTTTTGAATTTCAAGTCAGCAGCTGAAACGCCACATAAGCGAAAATTTCTCCAGCGCTGGTCAAACTGGGACTCCCACGTTATGGAACATTCTTAATCAAGATCGCTCCACGCTACACTTCTGATTGATTCTCGTTCGGTGTATTATACGCTGAAATCTTATAAAATGTTATTAAAGCCAGCCTAGGTCGTGGAAGGTGATGTAGTATGCGGCTTACAGCCTCCGTAATTATTATTTTCAAGTGGTTTTATATAACCCGCTTCGTGAACGTCACGTTTATCACGTTCTCCCTACAGCTTTTTCAACAGGCAAAGAATGCTTTTTTTGCACTGAAGATCAGTTTCACAAATGATTCCCTGAGAGGTTGACCTCTGCTGACGGTGTTTCGTGTTTTATTTCAGATAACTGGAAAGGCTTCTTTCACCTGTATGTGTGCCAAATGCTCAGAACCTGTTGGACATTCTTTAAGTTTGGATAAAATTTTGGCAACCCATTTTGTAAACTGGGTATCGCTGCTTTCGAGACCTACATTTTCCAACGGATTTGGTTTCCTTGGAACTCTGCTCGGCCCAAAAATACTTCCTAATAAACAAATGCCGTCGCGGTGAACCTGATGTTCATTCTGACATCTTCCTACTTGAACGTAGTTCCTCTATTCATCAACGCTAACGAGGATTTACGCGCTACCTTTCAGCAAACAACAGTGAGCCGATATATTGCTTATGGCGATCGCATAAGTCATCGATAAATACTAATAGTGTATCGTTGCTACCTTTCGCAAACAACAGTGAGCCGATATATTGCTTATGGCGATCGCATAAGTCATCGATGAATACTAATAGTGTATCGTTGATGGGGCACCAGATTCATTCACTCGCGTCATGGATCTCAGAAGTATCTTAGCGGTAGTTATCAACGACTGCTCATCTGGAGCTTGTGGGTGCCCGTCTGCCTATGTTTCTAAAGCATGAAACAGCCCTAAAGTACATGGTCGTTGGCTTGTTCGCTGAGCTGGGAAATTTGGTTGCAAACGTTTCATCACCAATCGACGTGATATCATCAGTGGTTGTGGGCACAACCACTAACCCACCGCTACGCACAACTACGCACTGATGATGTCACCTCGATTGGTGATGAAACGTTTGCAACCAAATTCCCCAGCTCAGAGAACAAGCCAATGACCATCTGCGCTACCTGACCTACCGACATTATCCTCCATAGAAAGCCCCAAAGTACTCCTTGCTCCTCCGCTGTAGAGTGCCATCAATCTTAGGATAGAATATCTGCTCAATAGCGACAAATTGTGGGTATATGCGGCTGGTTGTTGGAGACGACGGTGTTGGGCGCGCTTGTCTGTCTTAAATGTTCTAACCTTGTGATCGGTAGCATGATCTTGTGCATGAGAACCCATACCGTTCCTGGAATAGATCGATATGCGTGCATTTCATTTGAGTTGTGAACTGAGAATAACCCAAACAACATATCCTATCTTCTTAGATCTCTGTGCTGGTGTACAGTGTCATGCCTTCGGTCAGTGTTATGAGAATCGGTGCTACTGCAGTCACGGCTACGTTGGTGATGGCGTCAACTTTTGTGATCCACGCACTGATGGTACGTTCATTTCAAATGGTTTGTTTCTTGGATATATTTATCTCAGTGAAATGGAAAAAAACAGTTTGGTACCAAGCACTTGAATACGGTAAATGCTTCTGATAGTTTGCTTGTTTGACGTTCGAGCTTCAAAACATGTATACAATCTAATATACCAGATACCTAAAAATTATTAGAAAACAGTCGTTAAGAGCTATTAGAGAGGTTGTGCGGAGTACCATAGTCTGTCCGAAGAATGGCCGTACCAGTCCTAATTGAGTTCAACCCATTCGTCCCTTTTGATAAATCGGAAACCGGGTACATGCCTTGTACTTCTTCCGTATTAGATCCGTGCGACAATGTGCGATGCGCCGCGAATGCCGCTTGTCACGGAGGTATCTGTTCATGCAATCCTGGATATAGAGGCGATGGTTATCATGAGTGCCGTTTAGCGGAAGGTGAGTGAAAATTCTTTTCATCAGTAGGCAAGCATGTTCGGGGTAACAGCCGAGACTGTCAATCACAGCGAACTATTAAAACGTAAAATTCATCAACAGCTAGTGAAGTAATGAGCTAAGTTTGTGTCATATTAACATCTGTCAGTCAGAGCAGTTACCTTAAAGTGTGATTTCATGTCCACCGCACACAGTCTTGAAAGAAACGGTTGTTGAAAGCCAGTGATCGTGGACAGTCGACCGTAGAACGCATAGTAACAACAACAACTTGTCTTGGATCATCCTGGATCTAGCCAGTATAGGGAACCATTCACGGAGTAATCTGGGTTCCCATTGTTGCCTGGGCTGTTTTAGCCTGCAGCTTACAGCCAATCTCAAATGACAGCAACGGTTCTGCAACTTTCAGGATTAGACTGAAAACGGTCTCGCTGTCGTATGCTGAAGACCGGATGAATTTCACAAGATACACGTATTCTTTGTCGAAAGGAAGATGACGCCCATAACAGATTTCCCTAACCAAGCACAAACCGTACCCCGTCGCCTCCATGAAGGCACGGTTCAGTACTCTCATGATCCGCAGATCATTTAGTGTTGGTGGTAGCTTCAAAATAAATAAGTAAGTAATTCCGCCTCACGGTTTTGCATGCGCTTCACACCTGCAAATTGTAAAGTGCTGCTGCGAGATTTGGTGGGCTCAAACGCCAACCTCATGGTTTCAGATGAACCAATTGAGTTAGGAGACAAATTTGTGTACCTAGGCTGTATCTATCCTCGTCGTTTCGCAAAAGATAATATTTACATCTGAAGTGGGAAGGCCAGAGCAGTCTTTGAAAACCTGCATCACTTGTGGCGAAGGAGGGACATCAGCTTATCCATCCATGGTCAAGTTTGCACTGCTTCGGTGCGCTCCATATTAATTTATGGGTCAGAAAATTTGCCGCTGCGCTCCGACTGCTCGGACGACGAAGCCACTACCAGCAAACTCGGTTGTGTTGATCCTTCTGAATAGGGACCTCAGACGGAACAATCAACCCAGGCGTTGAAAATAATATTCAGCGGATAGAAAAAATCTGTGAAATGTTGGAAACATTGTTGTTATTGTTTACCAGGAGTGTGCGAAGTCTATCTGGTGCTAACATTTCTAAAGTACATAGTTCATCGACGACAACTGAAAAACGTTCTCGATCATCGAACTTGACCTTCGGAACTCAGATATGTAAAGATTTAGGAGCGGCACATAATATAAATTCCATGCGGAAGACGGAATTTTAGTTGCTAATTTATATTACGCACTGTACTCACGCGACACACCACTCGCGACCCATGAAGGCACGTTCCACGAAAAACTGCTGCTTCCTATGCCTTCCGTGGACACCGGATTCGAGTAATATTATCGCCCAAATCTTACCCATTTTGGTTTAGAAGTGATCGAGTATGAAACCTCTATTAGGCGCCATAAGTTATGGTGGTATAAGCTGTTTCTAAGAGTATTAGATGGCCTTTGTACGACCCGATGGTATTGTGAAAAATTATGCCTCCATGTTCCGATCGAGAGGAGAAAGTTTAAACATGACTGGAAAGCTGTGGATACCTCGGTAGAAATCGCCTTTTCTGATGAGACTGCAAGCGGAGAAAAGACCAAAAGGTGGTAATATAAATTCACATCGTGCACGAGTGGAGCAATAGCCCTGATTAACACCCAGCCTACATGTGTCTCACCTGGAAGGCGTTGCAAGCTTAATGAGACGGTCATCTATCATCGGAGACTATTTTGGTGGACCTCCTGAGAGATAAAAGACCCGTTTCGTCACGTGACGAGCAGACGGGGTGCATCATCGGATAGGCAGTCGGAAAGCACTACCAAGAGGAACCATTTAACACAGCCAAAACATTAGTCTAACTAGTACATTTCTGTCAGGGGCACTGCTCTTATCCGTCTTGCCATCTTTAACGTCCTTATACTGTTAACTAAACTGGAACGTTTACATTGCTAAAACAATAACAAAATAATCTTGGGGCATATAAGCCTGTGAGTAACAGCTGACACTCTTTGTATCATCGTACTTTATCGTACCCAGAGCACGCTTCTTCCTACGGTTAGATACTACCGGTTGTCAGAACCAACCTACAAGCAATGTAAACTGTTGAATAATTTCCAACGTGGAACCAATGTAGAGTGAGAAGTGGAGGCGAAACACTACAACCAGATTCCCGATGGACTTAGTGACCAACAGCATCCCGAACAAGTGTGCCGAGAATGAGATATCAAGTTGAGTTATACAGCACCTTACTTACAGATTGAAGGTGAGCAAAGGGAATCTCCATCAAACAGTTTCTGGTAAAGAAAGCCTAGGAAATGCTCTGGGCAAAATATTTTTCCTCAAAATATCGAACTTTCGCCAGCAACAAGTGCAAGCGAGAATTGCCGACGTAGCCAGCAACTTAAAAAAAGTAAATTCGCGAATCCACTGGTATACCAATCATTTTACGACTCCTGGTATTCATCAGAATTATCTATTCCGGGTAACATCCGTTGATAACCAAATCTGAAGGCCATAAAGGCTCCGTGTGGTCAGTAATGACAAGCAAGTCAAGATGGGTTTTTCCTCTCTTGGGACATATCATGCGGTCGCAGGCGAACCGTTCACACGGTCACCTGAAACTCACTGCGTCTGCAGCTGCATGTTCATATGTGTCAGTGGATGATGTGGGTTGCTTGAACTGATATTCTGGAGCACAGTCTACTCACGTCTCACTGTCACTTCTGCGTCCCATCACCTGCCCACTTTTGCGTGTATACTAATGCACTTTGAACTTTGGTGCCGACGCTTTCCCGCATCTCACAAACGGACCAGCCTTCTTTGCTTCTATTCACAAAATATATTACTGTTTTCATTGTCACAAAACTAGCTAGGTCTTCGTTGGATTTGTTACTTGCCTGCATTATACCATCTCCAGTGTGGTACATCTTTTGTGGCTTCATCAAGCGAACCCAGTGATCAATTGGTAATCAAACGACGAAGGAACTGGGTTACACCTTTTAAAAAGTGCTACAGGGTTATATCTACTTTCAGCTTTTGGTGTTACTCGTTGATACAAGCAAAAGACGCATCCAGATACCGAAATGAATAGTGGGCATGGGTCCCTGAAGCTAGTTGTCAGTGAAATGCCTGTTTGCTAATTTCTACGTGTGTACCTGGAGTTAACCTTTGGTTAACCCCTGAGTCTTGTCTCTCTGAATTTGTAAATTTCAACGTGTGTACCTGGAGTTAACCTCTGGTTAACCCCTGAGTCTTGTCTCTCTGAAGTTGTCACTGCTCGTCATCATCATCGCTATCAAAGACAGCAACATCAATGTTGACACTCGCGCTTCAGTGCCGTACTTTGCTATCCATCTCCATATACAAAACGAACACAAGCTCCATATTCACAGCGCTGTAAAATTTGTCATCTATTAATTGGCTTGTATTCACCAAGTTTCTTTTACGAAGAAGTGCAACAGGATATACGTATCATTTTAAGCATTAAATTAGATTCATAACTTTCGTGATCATTGCTCATTGCTTGATTTCATGGTTAGCTAATCCACAGGTGTTACGTCCCCTCTCAAAACCAAGGGATAAACTTATATCGAGGATGAATTGTAATTTGAATGCACTATTCTACCGAATCCACAGTTTGAGGGCTTGGACACCCATTTGGAAATCTTGGAATTAATGGAAATGTCGAACGTGTGCCCGGTGATCCCAAACGGGTTTCATCGTACTCATACAGACTGGTGTTTGTCATTGAAACATAACGCAATCGCATGTTTGGTTGAACCAAACTGTAAGCCGAGAACGTATCACGTTTCAGTCACCGAAATCAAACACTAGTTGGTTGCATTTGCGTTTCAGATCCCTGCGCCCAAGTTCGCTGTCACCAAAACGCTTATTGCGAAGGTGGTGTCTGTAGGTGCATGGAAGGTTTTCAAGGTGACGGTGTGTACGAATGTCAACCGAGAATGGCGGAAGGTGAGTGCATCATTCAGTGGGAAATTTGACCTTACTTGTTCTTTCGAAATAGAAGTAACTTTTCCAACTTAACACAAAACCCTTGAGCTGAGCGTTGCGTTGGATAAAACTCCTCAACTTAGAGTTCATTCGTGGTTCCCGGTCCTTAGTTCTCATTCAACAGTGTACGGAGAAAACATGCACCTTTGGGACATTCCGAAAGCGATTAATGGGCATGCTGTTTGGAAACAGAAAAACGGCACATTAAGGCAGATCATTTCGGTGGATCCTTCAAAACACAATGGTTAGCCGGGTCAACACAACACATCAGTTTCCATCTTGATGAAGATCACATCTTAAGTGCAAATCTTTTGGTGAATGCTCCTTGCCGCGCGGAATTTTTTTATCCAAAGCACACTCTAAAGGTCATCGTGTCCAGAACAAACCAATAAAAAAGATGTCATAGTAAACCCATGAGAATAACGTAAACGATGCTTTTCAAACAGTATTCAATACGCTGATGACAAAATTGTTGATCAAAAATGGCCCAGACGAGTGCACGCTAGAAATGTTAGCTCTGGCGAGCATGGAGTGCCTTTTCAGCTGAGAAATTCACTTGGATGGAAGTTGTGTGAAGATAGGTTTCTTCTCTACTCCCAATATCGGTCCACTGATCTCCATGAACCTTGTCACACACCCGTTTACCTAAGCTTGTTCAAAATAAGTTCCATTTTGTTTTCTACAGTATCGCCGAGCCTATCATTGTTACCCACATGGGCAAAGAGCGGACTAGGTTGCGCTTCCTATGTAAAGGCACGAAATGTGGACATCTGCACACTGCCCTGTAATTATTGGTTTTTAGTACATCACACTTTGTAACGAGCCATCGAACCGCCTAATCATGTCGAGAAAATTGGCCTACAATCCCAGCTGTATTTCTTAAACTGATTGATGAATCAACACGACAAACTTGTGAAAACTTGCCCACCACCTAATATATATCATCCACGTAAAGCCTTTAGGAGCTGCATCTGCTTACTGACTGATAAAGCTGATGATAGTCCAGTTTTCCAATAAATGTGTCGCTGAGGGAAGCACCCAACAAATAATTCTTAGCCACCCCATTAAATTCAAGCTGTGCATTTGAAGTGCAACGCACCAAGACCTCTTTTTTCTCTGTGCGGTTCGTCACACCCGATAAAAACAGCTAGTTTGCTGAGCACTGTGGAAAGCTGGGAAGTGAAAAGACGTGCCTTTCAAACTTTAAGGAGGAGCTGGAAGACCGCAATAAACTGAATCCATACAAAAAGCCAGCACGGCGTCGGTTCAGAGGGCACAAGCTTTCATCTTAAATTTAAGATAAATCAAATGATGTTTAGTAGGTAAAATGCAGTAAAAAAATAACCGGTGGGGGGCCACCGCAAGAAACGAAGCTTTTGGCCTCTTCCTGGTGACCAGCTCCTTCAGTGGCAACCGGTAGATGCATCCAGTTGTAAAAAACTGCGCGAAAATTATAATGGCTTCGAGGAATGATTTTTTTAAAATTATTCAGTAGCCCTTAAAGTGAGTTCCCCCATATATACATATATATATATATATATATATATACCATTACGGCAAACTACCTGAGTGGTCTGAACAGCCTCCTCAACAGCGATTTTCTTCAATTCTTTATTTGTTTTTATTCAAGACCATAGTCAGTGTCCCTAGTTGTATGTGACGTGATCTGCGTACGCTCAAAGCCGTCATATGACGGCCTTAAAAACCAAATTGTCTCGCATCGTCATTCATAAGTGATCGGAAAAATAGCGAACACCTGGGAATCAGCTGCTGCTCCAGGTGTGAGCAGTCCCTGAAGCAACTGTTTCCTTGGTGCAACCTGGATACACGATGGGCAGAAACAGATGCACCCAAATTACAAACTGAAATAAAGGATCGTTCACTTACTTTGTGTCTGCAGATATCGGTGACCTCCCGGAATAGAAGAGATTACTCTAGTTTAGCATATCCACATGAAGTCATCATCATCATCATCGACAGCATGACATCAGTGTTCAACACCGATGCTTCGCATGAAGTACTTGGTGATGAATTATAATTACTGGGAAAATAAATAAATTATGCAAGGTCACGGTGTTGAATACGTCTACCGGGCAAACCCAAACAACCTCTGCTGAATAAAATTCCAGTTTCCACTTGGAATCTCCCCGAGCAAAACATTTGTGAGGACCAACCAGTGGCACTGCAGTACGAAATAAAGACGGTTACGATCAAAGGAAATGCTGTTGGATCTTTGAGGCATATTTGGAATTTTTTATCACAAATCCTATGGGAGACTGCAGGGAATATTCTTACTATCTCAGATAAGGTTCTTCTGTCGTTCTGAGCTTGTTTTGCTCCAAGGAGGTTTTACAATAAACTTTTCGGGAGATGTAATTTAGAGAACCAGACGATGAACAAAGCAATAATTCATTTCTTAAGACACAGCGTTAGATGAGATTTCATCGTATGCTCACGCTAGTTTGAATTTGTCTTCATAAGTTTTCTGAGCCCCTCGTCGAAATACGGGGTAAGTAAACAAGAAAGCCAGTAATTGGATCAGTATTTTATGACGATTTCCCATTAGTGGACAATTAACTGTCTAGCAAATTAATTGACCTAATCAAAGTAAAACCTAGCACTTGCTTGTTCCAAAGGGGAAATCGCCAAGCAAATAAGCAGAGGAACCACTGAGTTAGCGTAACTGTCTTTTTTGGAAAGTTTAGAAACAGTGCTTCTCGGTTCCTCATCATAGACTGGCTTTAGTTACAGAATAAAATCCTCAGGAAAATTGCCAAACCTCCTCACACTTCCAACAATTGCCACCTTGAATTACGTCCCAGATTTGCGTCATTCAAAATTTCCATCGAACCACCGAACCTAATTTTGCTGCCTCCCTCAAAAGTCCATGACATTTTTTTCGGTGCGGAAAGCATAACCCAGGAAATAAAGTCGTAGAGATGGGGAATGTCATAGAAATCCGCTGAGTTGCTACGTATGACCTCTTCTGGAAAGTGACTTTCTTTCGGGAGGGAGAGGTCTCTGCAGGAAGGAGTACTGCGTGACAATTTAATAGAAGAGGCTCTTCTTATGCTGTCCTTACAATCAGCACTTTTGAGTAAGCCAATCTCGATTAGTTATGATGACACCTTTAAGGATTCAGATGAGCCTTTTCTATATATATATATATATATTATATATATATATATATGCGCCTCAAAAGTTGATCGCTCTTTGCCATGAACGAGTATGCCGCCAAAAGTGAAATGTATCACACACTTGGTACCTGAGCTGTACCATTTTCTAAAAGTGAAATGTATCACACACTTGGTACTTGAGCTGTACCATTTTCTGGTGCGGTTTTAATTGTTCCCCATCGTACTGCGATCAGCAGATCACGCAAATAGACACTGCGTGCAATAGATTAGATACCAAAACCATCGACATATCGACCGAAGAACGCGAGAAGCCTACAGATTAGGTGAACGATTTGGAAGGTAGAATATCTACTTGTCTATTGGCGCAAACCAAGTTTTAATGAAAAGTACTTTTGATTTAACCTCGGTGATAAGGCCTGGAAACGTTAAGATAAAACGGGCAGTGTGTTGTCGAACAGTCTTTTCAGAAAAAATCACACGTAGTCTGTTATGTCAATAGAAATATGTTCATCTGCTTAGCAGGTCACAAAATGCACCGAGGACGGTTTGAAAACAGGTTTCCTCATTTATGGACCTAACCAGCTCGGGAGGTTTTTGGAAGTCCATACCTTCAGATGTATAAGCTAAACGTATGGGGAACAAATGGAAATACGCAATATGCAGTAATAAAACCAAATTAGAAGGAAAATGGCTAGATGTTTCCAAACTATATTTCGCTCACCTTGTATGTTTCCGTTGTGGAGTAAACTAGTTCGGATTAGAAACAAGTTTGATCTTTTCATAAATCATAAATACGTTGTAACAGATCTGTGTTCCAAAGTGCAATGTCATCCGGATGCCGACTGTTATCAAGGACAATGCATGTGTCGACCTGGCTATGTTGGAGATGGTTATCGATACTGTCACTATTCGGGTTGGGGTAAGTAAAACACGTCCACGGAAAGCACCGTATATCCGAAGCTTCCGGTTGCACGTCGCACGCATGAATTTGCATGGCTGTTTAGCTAAACCGAACGCGGAAACACCGTTGAAACTGACAACAATAAATGCTTGTTAGCAAATAACTCGATTAGCGTTTCTTCGTTGCCACACGATCATAACCCACTAACCTCCTTTCCTCCTGGGACGCATACCCAATGAAAGCAGTTTGAGAAACTTGATCTGCTTGTTATACGTTCACACCATCCTTTTGTAGGACAATGTATTGACCAGAACTGCCACCCGTATGCTCACTGCGTCAACGACAGATGTCAATGCAAGCCTGGATTTGAGGGTGACGGATATTCGGTCTGTACCCCAAGTTCATGTGAGTTTACTAATTTTCAAAGTAGAGGTTTCGACATAGTGGCTAAAAGAAACCTAGTACCCTGCCTAAGATATGTACACGCATGCGTGCTTCGCCTTTCCTCAGACAATGCATTCCCGTCAAATCATAACCAGGCTTGTTCTGGTTTACACAGTGTCATTCTTATCGCTTAGACTATGGGCCATGCACACACGCCCCCATCAGATTTATCAAGAATTGATCGTCTGAATACGGTTGATCGAGATCGAATGGAGTGAATGGGCTTTTTAAGGTATCTCCCTTTCAGAAAAGGTCAACAAAGGCTGCTGTGTACAAATACTCAGTGCAGCATTTATTATCAGTACGGGTAAATTTTATCACCCAAAGTCTGATTTAGTGCCTGAATAATGACTTAGTAAACGAACCACGGTGACGTTTTACGGCCAGATTCATTCATACTGCCGTGTTTTAAACCGACGATAAGGTGAACAAGAGGTACAAATAGCTCAGGAGGACAAGACACATACTAAGAAGTCCACGTGAAAAATTACAATTGTTGAGGTCAAGGAATAGAGAGCAGGGGGGAGAATTTGCACTACAGTCTTTCAAACTTGAGAGCAGTGAGAGGTGTTCTGTGTACTGTGAAGTGGTCCTAGGCGGAGTCTTATAGTACCCCAGAAATCCACCCTTCGCGTACCATCATATGTGGCGTAATTCCTGTCAGCACTGATATTCAGCGCATTCCTTCTAGCTGTAAACGAGGTTTTTCTAGTTCGCCGCTGAATTTTTTCTGTAGATGTGCTTTTATGTTTATATGATTATGCGCTTTGGTTGGGATTTCGTACAAATCAGCTTGGTTTTTTATTGAGCACGTAGAATCTGAAACGGTCATTTTGTTTTTTAATCATAGCGGTTGATCCGAGTCGATGTGAGAACTGCCGTGGAATACCGCTAAACGAACTGGCCCAGTGTATCAACGGTCGGTGCGTCTGTGCCCAAGGCTTCATTGAATCGCGTCCGGGGACGTGCACCGAATGTGTCCCGAGTGATTGTCACGTCAATGCTGCGTGCTTACCCAATGCCCAGTACGGTGGAGTCTATTCCTGTCAGTGCAAATCGGGCTACAGTGGTGATGGTGTAAAAAATTGTGACCCGGACAGAGGTGTCGGACCTGAGCTTGATCCGACATGTGGTGGAGGTTGTTACGTCCGAAATTCCGAATGCAATCGACTAACCGGGCGATGTGAATGCCGACATGGCTATGATGGTGATGGACGGATTAGCTGTACCTGGAACTGCCAACTTTGTTTGCCAAAAGCCATTTGTGATCGAGAAAACGAACGCTGTACCTGCATGGAAGGTTATTACGGAGATGGTCAAACCTTCTGCGAACGCATTACACCTCAACCGGGTAAGCTTCTGATTTCCGTCTTACTATCCCCTATTTACCATTGCGTCTGACTAACTTGACCAGAACACAAGCATGTGGAAGTTAATGTGAAGTTAATGTGAATTTAATGTGAAGTTAATGTGAAAGTTAATTTGACAATAACTGATACTAAATGAGATGTGGTTATGTCTAGTTCTCACTAAATTCACACATTTCTACCCAAACGGCCCACTGACCAGTTCCACATTTTCTACTTAGCACATTAAACAAGCCTGAACAGCAATGGGACTATGAAAGGGAATTCGGTGATAAGACCCGACCACCAGCCCACATGCCCACCACGGTGATGAATCAGTACCCCTCTGTTTTCAAACCATTGCGACCCAAGAGAAACCTCTCCAAATAGGGGTATTTGTTTTTGAGAGCTCATAATCAAAACTTGGTGTGCCATTGCTTTAAACAGGAGCCATTTCCCGAAAGCAAAACAAATGACTCCCAGGTGCATGGGGATGACTCTGGGGCATGCTTGAATGTTACCACAGTTGAGTTACAGCTGATTACAAAAAATACGCTGACTGGTGAAAGGTCACAACCCAACGGAGTGTTAAGCGAGATACCCAATAATTAATAGGACAGAAATGTAAAAGTATCATCATCATCGTCTTCGACAGCATAACACCAGTGTTCAATACCGACACTTCCCTGCCGTATAGGTATCATGGTTGTAAGTGGGTTGGGGTACTGTCGAGGCGCCCACACCTAGACAGGAGGGTCCTCGACCAGAGCCTTTGGCTCAAAGGCGTAACCGCAAGGAAGCGGTGTTTGGCGGGGAATGTAAATACATTATCATTCCTGCGGAACAAGTTGCCACATGTTCCAACCCCCAACCTGGAGGACCAGGAGACTGTTCGTCAGACCTCTAACCATTGACCAACTTGGTATGAAAGTCTGTCTGAGTATCGCGGGGACAACCCCCAGTATAGCTCAATAGGTCGCTGAGATGCGCAAATCGTCACACCACGGTAAGGTCCAGTCGCTTCGCGACGCAATACAAAAGTAACTTACATGCATTCAAACATTTAACAGTTTAGTTAGAACGGAACTAAAAATTCTGCATGCGGAACGAAGTTACCAGGCCAAACACCGGAAAAATTAGCAGTGAAGGCTTTACTTGGAACACGTGCTCAACGCCTAACCAGATTCACCTTCACTTCCTTTACCATAAAACAGAGCCAGTGACGGTGCAAATAACTGGTCAAGGCGATGTTATCCGCGTAGCTGACCTACAAAAACCACTAACACTTTTCTGCTACGTTACCACGAAGGACGAATCGATCACCGGCCAGTGGACACAGCCAAAAGGAGCTCAGCCAGCCGAGGTTTCTATGAACCGACTTCCAACAGGACTTGAGATTCAGTTGCGTATTGCAAAGCCAGCGCTAACTGACGCCGGACGGTATTACTGTCGTGCGAAACAGGCGGAAGCCTACATTGACGTGGCAATTCACGAAACCGCAAGTATGTGTGAACAGACTAGCTACCATGGTGAAATCGAAGTGTATTTCTAACGTAATCATCCTAGATCGAAAGATTTATCGACGTTTTGTTGACTTAACAAGTGCTAACACTCCTGTCTGTCATTTTAGTGCCATATGATATTTTCCTAACAAGTGACGACGGAATATTGAAGGTACGTTCAAGTGGGCAAAATTCAACAGTTGCCTCTCTTTGGAACCTTGGTGAGTCCTTGTTTACTCTTGTCCCCACATCCCACTTCATTAGGTTAATGATGAATGTATAGTGTTGAATAACAAACTTACTGATATTTCCAACAAATCTGGAAAGTCCTCATATACCAGCAGCCCACGCAGATTTTACTTCCCATTTTTGTATTCCATGAGTGTTTAGAATATTCGAAAATGATTCAAGCTCGATGGAGGTCAACTTCCGATTGATCGAAGAAATGTCATTATTCCGCCCCATTTAAAGCCAAGTACTAGGAATACTCAGTGTGTGGAGAGAAAACACAAACGCCTTTTTATCTATAAAGATTTACATCGAATAACTTAGGTTAAAAGCTTTAAATCACAGCATATCAATGCAAACAGTTCATTCAAATTATAAAGAATAATCGATCCATGCCGTTTCCAGGTCATAGGTCGAAGATCCTAACCCAACTGAATGAGAGATGTTCCAGAGTCGCGGTTCCGCAGCATACGTATCCATATGCGCTAGTTAAAACATGTGGTTCTTGTTGACTTTATGCTTATCGCACGTAATTATTTCCCTTCCAACGTAGCGGAGAACAACAAGTACGCCAGAGTAGCCATGGTGACCGACTGTAACAGACAGTCCGTCATCTATACTTGCGACTTTGGCAATACAATTCGATGGGGTAATGCTCATCACACGCAGAAGGAACTGAGTACTTCCAAGATTTATCAGTCGCAGCTGGCTCGATTCCGAAACTTGGCGGTTGATCCACCATCTGGAAACATTTATGCCTGGGATGAAGCTGCAAGCCAAATGATCGTGCTCAATCCCGACAAACCGCACATGAAGCACACACTGAGTAATATCGGAAGTTTCAAGCAAGGTGAACCAGTTCGCCTAGCCGGAATGGCTTTACATTCGTCACGAGGGTAAGTTGGTTTCGGGTTCTGAGGGGCGAAGTTATTAATTTTGAATGTAAATGTAAGGATTTAGATGTTACGGTGAATAACCACGGGTTCTACTACGCGAATTAATTTAGAAGTTATTACTTTTGAATGTAAATGTGAGGATTTAAATGTTACGGTGAATAACCACGGGTTCTACTAGACACAACAATCGAGGAAAAAGAAATCTATTTCGCCCTTACCAAGGCCCTTCAGTAGTGAACTTGATGGGGCTCGAGGCCATGAGCAATCAGTACTTTATAAGTAAAAATCCAAACTTCCGTCGGTCGAACTAATCACATCTCTCAAATTTGAACACATTCGTCTGTTCCGACAGGGAATGTGTCCATCGTGCGCTGGTGGGGTAGTGGTTACCCACTCACCTCGTATGTCAGATGTCCGGAGTTCAAACCTCGGCTTGGCAATGCTGACGAGCTCCAATAAGAGCGGAACTCGAATTGACGCGCTTCCCTTGGACTGAAGGACGGTTGTTCAAACGAGATTGATGTGAACACGAGTTCTACAAATGACAAGGCCACCTAAAAATAACTTGTATTCTTTCGATCGTCGTCTAACCATAATTATGAAATCTATCATGCGATTCACGGGCTGTCCTCCGGCAACCGGCGCTGATGAGTTCATTCAGACTAGCAAGTCACCTGAGGCGCAATGGCATTGAGGCTCAGAGAAGGCAGTCTCACCAACAATGCCATCCTTGAAAAAGACGATTAACCGAGGCAATTTTGACAGATGCTGTCATTTGCATATGAATTCGGTTTTGATAGGAGACTCAACATAATCCAGCGAAATCTCTCGTTTATGATAGCCCGCTTCAACTGAATGTGCTACACCAGGCAGCTTCATGTTTCAGTTGATAGGATACTCGAGATATCTAGATGTCTATACGTAATCTAGTACTCCCAAGCAAGCTTGAAACTCTTCGACAGCCCGGATCGGTTTCGCTCTTCTTGGGGCTCATCAGGTGGGTGCCACATTAGGCCGACATTCTTTCTCCTCCCTGCTAGAGCTGAAATCTGGTGCAATTCAGTTTCCTGACTTGAAATCCACTTTACATTCACAAATGATGTGCTCATGATTTGTGATCCACGCACCACCCACAGGGTTTTGCTGGATGCGCAAGTGCATCACCAAGCCTTATACGCATTATTGAGAAGAATGGTTGAAAATCATTTTTATATGTAAGGTTACAGAATAAGTTTTCAAAAATACCGGACCAAACTGGACCAAGAAAACGGCATGGTGGCAGATGGGTGAAAAGAAGGAATTTTGTGGATTTATATGATTCAGTTAGAATAAGGGATTAGTGCACTGTGGAATGTCGCAACAACTACACTCTGCGCACAGAACCTCACAATGTGGATCCAGCTACTAAGTGAACCCACCAGGCACTTGCTAAACATTTTAAAGTTTTACCTTCTCTGTTACGTAACTTTCCATGTAGACTGGATTGACATATGCTAGATGGGCCAATAACAACTGAGTTTTAGCTTCAAGCAGAACATAATGTTGATGGAAACTCAAAGACTACGCCTACCTGATGGACCCCAAAAAGGGCGAAACCGGTCGTGGACTGTCGATGGATTTTCAGCAACCTTATGAGTAATACATTACAAAGATATACATGTATCGCGATACCTCGAATATCGTAGCGACTGGAGCATGAGTCGGCCTGGTGCAGCAGATTCGGTTGTTTGGAAACAATACAAACGAGAGATTCAGCTGGGTTCCAGGTGAGTCTCTCGCAAAAACCAAATTAGTTTGCAAATGAGTTTTGTTCGCAGTTCGACTGAAATATGATTTTTCTAAACATCACCTTTTGGTGACCTTTTTTGGATGACACAAGTGGAAGAAACTTGACCATTCTACATACGCGTACCAGTTTATCCAGTACACAGAATTTTCAGCAAACATTGCCTGAAAATTGTACTTCCGACCCGATTGGTGTCCTAATTGCAACCAATATTCTCAAGGAATCATCCCGAAATCAATGCTTTACGTAGAATGGTCTGTTTATTGATTTGTAATGCATTTTCGCTTATCCTTCTAACATCCTGTGTTCCGAATCCACAAAGTTATGATCCCAAATGAAAACCGAGTCATTTTAGGAAAGCATTTCCTCTCGTCCGTCTGTTGTTAGGCTATTCTACCTTGTGTGCAAATATTTTTCCATTACGAATCCCTCACAGGATATTTCGCTAAAGCGCTCTGGGTAATCGGACGTTTTTAAGTAACTTGTAGTGATCAACCAAGCACTCTCAGCTCAAACATGTATGCACTTTTTATTCGTACAATGTGTGTTCTTCGCGGTCAAATGGAGAGAGTGAAAGCAATGTTAACATATCGCAGCAGTTGTCTAACGTCGGTTCTAATGAGATGGACAAAGGGGACTCAGTATTTCGAATTACTCAAATGGATGATGAGAATTATTGTCCTTAGGATGACACAAATGGGGGATTCACCTGCGCTTTCTGTCGCAACCTATTTAAAACAGAAACAAATCATCCTCCCTGTTCGTATGATGGCTGGACCTACTTGACGTTCCACGTTGCAACCTTCTGACTGTTTGTTTAGCCTTGTGTTATGTGCATCAAAATCAGCTGATGATTATGTTGTGATCTCGCTTGTTTGTGACTCAACTTCCATAGCAGGTGTGAATACCCACCTCCAATGCCTTTCTGCTTAATGCGATCTCTTCATACTCCACTTTCTAGGATCTAGTTGACAGTTTACAAAAAAGAATGTTGGATTTTACGCAGATTATCACGATGTATTTGCATATAGGACTGGCCAGAATCATTCTTTTGTGTGAGGACTTCTGTCTGAAGGGAACATAGTGTGCTGCTTATGATCTGTCGAAATAAGAGTGAAATTGACATTGACCTTGAACGAGTCTGCTCATGTGTATGTCAGGTTACTCCACGCCTTAGTTTTCGTATGGACAAATGAGAAAAAAGGCCATGCGAGCATACGCAACATCAGTTATGGACACTACTTTCTACACTACGACTCAAGTAGCTAGAATTCTTCATACTTTCACCCTTCTTTCTAATAGTTCATTAAAATCATCCCACTGGATCGCAAACCACCGTTCCAGATTTGGTACACCCACTAACTACTCGTTTCTAAGCAGTCATTATCATCGTCGCAGCACACTATGCTTATTGTCTTTGCTAGAATCCGGCTGTCAGATGCAGTGGTAGCTCACTTGCCTAACTGGCATCACGTAGAAGCCTTATACCCAGTTTCCCATCTGTGTTTATTTCATCCAAAGTGTTATTTAACACTATCTCTACCACTAACTTAACAAGGCATTCTATCATCGGCATTCAGATGTTTTTCAGAACGTTATGCATCAATCACAGTCGATGCCATGTTGGTTTCTATGAGAACATTAACAAATTTAATTTCACAATACACAGGCTACTATATTGGGCAGCATTCACCGATGGGTGGATGCCTAATGGGACGATACAAGTCGCTTCGATGGCTGGCGAGAATGAGAGGCAGTTGCTACAGCTGAACGGAGAACCTCTCGCTCTAAGTCTTTCTCCATCTTACGACGACATGGACAAATCTGCCGGTAGACTGTGCTGGATTCAACGGTCCATTACGAACGTGTTCGCCCTGGCCACAGAGATGCATTGTGCGCGACTCAGTGAGGATGGTCGCTCTGTCATAATGCAGGAACGACTGAGGCAGTTCAATCCAACAGAGGAGCCATCGTGGGGTTTGGTCCACCATCGTGGTACTGTCCTCTGGACAGACGCCTCCAAGTGAGTCAAAGGATGTGTTTTGATAGGCGTTCCAAGTTTTACCACAAACCGACGTTTTGAAATGGAACTGATGATTTTCTTTCCACTCTCAGTAACAACTCGATCCAATCGTCTATCTTTACTTCCACAGACCCGTCTATTACTCTGCTAACCCCGCTAGACGCGTGCATGTCCGTCTGGTGTGTTGTTCAAATCGCTTCCAATCCATTGCCACTCTGGCCGTATGCAATCCTGGTAAGTGACTCTGAAAGTTTTTTGACAATGCTACGGATGGGGAAATCTGACCGAAAAATTAATGTGGATGTAGTGACGAATTTTCGACTTTGAAAACTTCAATATGAAACCTATACAGGAAGTGCCATCAAATCCACAGTACCTTAAAAACCTTTAAAATCACAGAACTCAACTGGGCTCCGTGAGGTTCAAATCTCAAGAAACAGGTGAACACAACAGATTGCAAAAACTGACACGCTGAGAAAACCAAATAGGACATTTCCACGTAGTGTAAAATTATCGATACTTAATGATAACAATAATCGTTCGGCTGTAACACCCTTTCGGTGCCCAGCGGCCACGAGATCCGTAGGAGGCCCGAGGGCTGAGATGCTTTCAGTTTTTCCTAGCCTAGACAGAAGCAGTTGTGATCCCGAGGTTGGTCTTGAACCACCCGGCCAGTAAGTTTGGGTTTTAACCACCTGAGCAGCCTCGATACTTTCAAGATATAGCTGGGTCCCAAACCCTTCTTAAAGTGAAGACTGCTCCAGGAACGGAATGACCTTCCATTACAGAATTCTCTGTAGAAAAAAATCGTTCAGCTGTAGCACCCTTTCGGTGCCTAACTGCCAGGCCGCCAGAAGGTTGCACGAGGACTGGGATACTGCCAGATTGCCCAAGCCTAGACAGGGGAGGTCGAGAGGCGGAAATCGGGTTCGAACCACGGACCTTCTGGTCAGTAAATTCGCGCTCTAAACACTGAGCCATCTTGCCTCCCACTGACTCGTCAGCGTGTTGTTTCAGCTGCCTTTCACCGACTAATTCCAGAGTCGTCCCACAAAGAAAGTACTGTAATAAAAGATGATTCTGTCCCTCGAGAAACCTTAACATTTGAGAAGGGTATTTGTCGTACAGTTGGTTCACTGGGGGGATTACTGTACTTGAAGCAACATTGCTAATGCATGAGAAGTTGGCCAAAAATAATATAGATAAATCCATGTTGAGCACTCGGGCGTTTTATTTCCCTTCTAATCAGGAATGAGCAATGCGTGCACCTATTCAAATGGTCGATGTCACCACTTCTGTTTGCCAGGAGAAGGTCAACACACGCGAACATGCGTCTGTCCAGACAGTCAACCTGGATGTCATCGCGAAATGTGAGCAAAAGACGGAACCCAGTCTACTCAATTACAGCTGTTAGCAAAATGCTACGACAATTCTTCATTGTTCAATTTAGGGTCTACTGTCACTTTGCTTATCAACAAATGCAACAAAGTCCACAATATTCGTAATATATCAATTTATAAATCTTTTAACGTCGAAAGTGCTTTTCCAGGATGTTTATGTTTCATATGCTTTATGATTGATTTAATTGGATGTAAACGTAATTGACTGTTTTCTTGCAAATGTGCCCGTGTTCTGTTTCATTCTGATTGTTCGAATAATAACTTCTATTTTGGCCAACCTTTACCATTCTGTGGGTCTCGAGAAGCCTAGGATCAACAAAAGTCAGACGAACGGAGAACAGCTGAAGAACTTATAAATCATCAACGGATTGTTTGGTATGACACAAAACTGGTAAAGGTCAGCAGAGGGTTGGTAGTTCGTGAATTGGCCCGATGTGTTGATGCAAAATGCTGCGCAGGTGACAACGACCGGGTAAACTTTATTCATCAACATGAGTACCACCCACGATTCTTGAAATCTCGGATAGAACACAATAGGTGCAGACCGAACACCGATAATGACTGTGACCGAACAAAAGCTGCCTTCTTATTGTGGTGGTCGGGCTACTAAAGTGCACTGATCCTGCGAGCTATACTGGCTGGAACTTAGTTCCTGTGGGTTCAGCCCAAAGGGGAGCAGTCCGATCAAGAGCAGCAATACCCGTACTGCGAGAAAATGTATCAGGAGGCGACTTGATGGTAAAGATATACTGTCCACTGCAACAGCAGTGCGGAGGCAGTAGGGTGATTCAGACTGAGGGAAGAGTCCTGGAACAAAACCATAAATCCTCTCATTACCCTGTGGGTCAGGCTTTCGAATCAAAGGCACAGGATGCGGTACCGAAATCACAACCCCTTTTTCGGCTTGGACGACCGGGAAGTAATTTTCGCGCTTGCAACTCTTCACTCACTGGCCATCGGCCACAGCTCCTCCTCACCCATCGAATGATGCAGTACGATCAACCCATTCGTCAGTCCCCTAGCCATGGCTCCTTGCTTAAACCACCACCCAGAAAAGTAAACCAACATACGCACCTACTAACCTCAAGAGATCTGGATCACGTTGCAGCCTTGAATGTCCGCACTCTGTCAAATCGGGTAACAGGCACCTGTTGCTGAAACCTTGTTTCTTCAATCTGTCAATGCATGTATTTCCGAAACACGCATACAAGGCCCCACTTCGATGGTGAACGTCAAGTTGTTTAGGGCGAACTCACATATTCCACAATTCAATCTTTGGGTATCTGATGATCCTGATGGAATGGCGCGTGGTATTTACCGTGGAGGAGTGGCAATTAGCCCCAAGGCTGAAAGCGTTTTACCGAACTGAGTCCCACTAAACAGTCATCTTTGCACTATGAGATCAACGCAGATAGATGTGATAAACAATGCTTTTTGTAGAATCAGCATACACCCCGATAGACCGCAGGTCTGAGACTGAGAAGGACGGAGTTTATCGAGTTCTGAAGGCGAACGCTTTGGGCAACAAACACAGTGGGTGATATGAATGTCCATAACAGAATCACTGAGCCCTGAAATGGCGCAATTAAGTGGTATGTTAGGAGTCAATGCTCAGCGTACGGATAATGGAAAGTGACTGCTTCGGATGTGTGCAGATGATCATCTGTTCCTGACCAGTACGAACTTCCAACACAAACGCTCACGTCGAGTTAACTGGAAGCCATCAACCGCAAGACAGTCATGGACTCAATTGAACAATGTAAAAGAAAAAAGAAAGCGTTCAGCTGTAACACCCTTCCGGTGCCCAGCTCCCATGCTACCCGAAGGAAGCACGAGGGCTGGGATACCGCCAGGTTGTCCAGGCCTAGACAGGGGAAGTCGAGTGGCGGAGGTCGGATTCAAACCACGGACCTTCCGGTCAGGAAATTCGGGCTCTAACCACTTGGGCCATCTCGCCCCCAATTGAACCATGTGGCTATCAGTTACCAATGGAGAGCCTCAATTAGAGACATTCGTTCCTTCTGGGGTACGCAATTTGACTCTGACCATGCCATAGTGCAAGGCTGGTTACCACTTCGCTTTGCGTCACCACCAAAACCGAGCAACTCCACCCATCAACTACGAAAAGTTCCAGTAGCTCAAGATTATTAAGCTGATATGGCTACTGGAAACGCAGTCATGCGAGTGCCGAAGGTTGCTTCGAAACTGAATGGAAGCGAATTAAAGAAGCTATGCTCTCAGCCTTCAGAGCACTTTGTCCAAGCCATCCGAATTGACTAGATGAACAGCACATCTTATTGCCGACAGAAAGTTCGAACCAGCAAACAGCGACTGTAATGGCGCACGCAGATCACTGAAATGCCGCATTACAAGGAGCGTGAGGAATAAGAGAATGCTGGTTTATTACGAAGACCGAGGGGATGGAGGAGGCTCTTGCTACAGGTGACAGATGCACTTCGCACTCTTCAAAGGTGGCGAGGTCTTGGTGAACAGCCTGACGACCATATTGCGGAAGATTTGGAAAAAAGCAGAATACCAGTGGAATGGAGTTCCTCGACCGTTATACCAGTCTTCAAAAAGGGTGCAAGAACGGCACCAGCCTGGTATCCGTCGCATCTAAGGTGCTCAGTGGAATTAGTTTGCGCAGGTTGATGAATTACGAGGAGAGACAGATTTGTGAGAATCAAGCTGGGCTCCACTGTGGTCCAGAATGAATAGGCTATATCTTTAACTTGAGACACTTCTTAAACAGCGGTACTCTTTCAAACGTCTCACGGTGGTCATTTTTCTGGATTTGAAAGCTGCCTTTTACTCTGTCGACCGTCAAAAGCTTTGACGTTGTTTGGTGATCATAAGTGTTTCTTCCCTTATTAGGACACTGTATGTGAAATCCTGCGGACGCGTACGAGTATACGGCAAGCCTCCACGTGAGATCACCACGTCCAATGGTTTAAGACATGCCTGCTTTCTCTCGCCTTCCCACTTCCTTCAACTTTGTTGATATGTTGCTTGGAATTTCTGTGCCTGCCTCAGAAACCTCGGAGGCCTAAATTCTCCCGGGACTTTGTTCACAAATATCGAGTACGTGGACAATATTGCTCTCCTTGGTTCAGATCCTTCAGAAATGCAAACCATTTTAAATAATCTTAGTAAATCTGGCTCACGATTTGTCACAAGATTCACACCTGTAAAAGTTTAAAGTGCTGTTACAACACTGGGTGGGATCAAACCCAAACCCCATGCTTGCATGGGGTTGCTTGCTTGCCAGTTAACGTGGCAGGCAAATTTGTTTCCTTGGGTAGTTGTACGGGTTCTGGTGAACAGGCTGGGGATGAGATTACTTCCCGGATCAGAAAGCACAGAACAGCTTTTTCAACCTCCGACACCTATGGCGCTGACGTGACTGTTAAGGGCAGAGTTTATACTGCGGTCCATACTGATGTATGGATCACAAAAGTGGCATCCACGCGCAGAAGACATACAAAAGCTCTCGGTGTATTCAAAGCATGGTCGGGCCTGTTGGGAACATCGGATTAGCAATGCTGGGGCACACCAGGCGGTTTTAGGAAGAAGGAACTATCCCACGACAGATGAATTACTAACGCTGTTTAGGACATGTAATCCGTATGCCAGATCACCGTCTGCTTGGAGAGCTCTTTTCGCCCAGCCGTGCGTTGAGTGGAGATGACCGAGAAGTAGACAATGTATGATGCGATTGCCTCCAATGCTTGGTTGTGCGTCCCATATTCTCACTTTCCGGTGAATGAAACTGTAGCAGTTGGAACCGACGTACGCATGGTACGTGGTTTATAGCTGATAAACTGAATTGGATTG